ACTTTCTATTTCTATTCCTACAACAGATACCACAAACAGCTTTTTGATGCTAGAACTCTTTAGAAATGTAAGTAATTTTCAAACATGTTTCGATGTTAGGCTTTACGTCAAAGGTCCCCAAAAAACCGACCTTAGAGATATGCCGGTTATATCGAAAATTCTATTGACAAGTATTGTGTGCTATTACACATAATCCTCATTATTCCGGAGCATGTTTTGCGCCTCGGCAGCCACAATTTTCTGACACTTTTGGCCAACGGAGTGCTCCCGTTCAATGGAGCCGCGAATGGTGTAGTGTGAGGTGCCATGCATCGAGTCGGAATGCTTGTACTTGAGAGCTCTTTGACGACAGAGACCGAATCTGTGGGGCAGTATTATTATAGATATTACAGTTGGATCGGCTTCAAATACATACTTTGACAACAGTGTTAGCAAATCCTGCCGATACTGAGATGTTAGGATGGCATATAAGTAAGGATCCGCACATGAATTCAGGGGATAGAAGAATACTAGTAAGATTTTCGACTTTGTTACATTGATCAGCGGGTAGCCGGCTAATGCGGTGAGACCAAAGAATGCAATTGGAGCGCCACAACTGAAATTGATGAAGACCTGTAAAAGAAGCAATGTGATTTAATTTAATTTTGCATTATCAAGGGAAACATGTGAAGGTGGACTCACTAGAAGTGCCATCTTCTTGGCCACACTCATCTCGCCCAGATGGTTCTGACGCGCCCGTCGCGTCTCCTGGCCGAGCGACAGATAAATTTGCGAATAGCAAATGGCGATAATCGTGAAGGCAAGGAAATTACAGCCCAAGATCAAGACCAGATATATGGAATCGTATATGTCGCGCTTCTCCATCGGCAGGCAGATGCTAGGGTAAACAGAAATGATTTGACAACACATGAAAAAGATTCCTCCGCAAGCACTCACCTAGTCGATGAGTAATTGCTTATGCCGAGCAAGGGCAGCGAGGACATTACGATGGAGTAGATCCAGCCCATTAGCATAATGACGGCAGCTGGCCGTAACTTGATGCGTTTATTTAGATACATGGCGTGCGTGATGGCGAACCAGCGTTCAATCGTGATGACAGTCAGGGTAAACACCGACAAGTGGCTGGCGAAGACGGTCAGAAATCCAGCTATCTTGCAGCCCAAGCCTGTGCGAAAAGAATACTCAAAGCAGCTCCCTCAATATCGAATGACCCAAGAGGCTCGCTTACCGTACTGCCAGTCGAAGGCATAGTTGAAATACTCGCCCATTGAATGCGCATCGATGGAGGCAATGAGCAGCAGGTAGAGACCCAGGCACAGGTCCGCAAATGCAAGATGGCAAATGAGGAAGCGGGGCACTGACGGACTCTCCGACCTAGAGAGCACAATAATAAATGCCAGAATTCATGGGACAATGGACTGAACTTACTTAATTGAGAGTATTACAGTGAGAACTGCGACGTTGCCAACTATGGCCAAGGCAACCACAATCCAAACCGCGATTCGCAGCCATTGATAGCCCATGACATCTTCACAGGGGTTTAGGGCATTGGGCATGGGATAACACTCTACATGGGGCTTTCTGTGAAACATTTAATTTTATAAAATAATACCAAAAGCCTGTAAAGCCAATCACCTAAATGTGAAGTTACCGCAATACTCAGCCAGCTGATCATCGTCGGGGTTTATTGTTATCTCCTCGTGGAATATGCCAATGTTGTTCAATACGGAATCAGCCATATAGTCGTACGTGTTGGGCGTAGATGCCCCAAGTAGGTTGTTTATAGTGGCGCCACTTCAATTGCGATTTAGATATTGTCATTACTATTTATTTTGTTAGCTATAAATGTGTCTATTTACCTAGGCTGCACCTCCGACACATTCGCCAATGGCGTGAGATTATTCATGCTCAAGCTTCTTTCATAGTTTGTATGCACATCTCGGGTGCCCTTGCATTGATCCCTCCATTTCTCCACTTCCTGCACGCGTTGGGCGTGCCTCTGGGGATCATGCCTCGACGGGAATTGAAAGGCGCAGCAGTGAAACGAGTGGGTCAAGTGAGCTCTCTGTAGGTTCTATAAAGAGAGTAGAGATGTGAGATAATTGAAATATTGATAGTGACATATACATACCTGAAAGTTGTATATGGAAGGTATTGTCTTCAAGGTGTGCGTATTGGCTATGTATAATACTTCTAGAGTCTGCAGTCCAGCTGAGGGCAGGCGGACAAGCGATGTGCTCGAGAGATCACTGTGATTAGGAAATGTACAAATATCTTGATAGACCTGAATGTTACTGTATAGATATATATCACTCACAGTTCTGTCATGTCTATGATGCCATTGAATGCATTCGGGTGAATTTCGGTAAGTTTGTGATTATCGTTTAATGAACTAAACGTGATTAGCAACAGGTTATTAATAATAATAATTAATAAATATGATCAAAATAATTGCAGTTCTCTTACAGCTTTGCTATTTTCGAGCCCAGAAATGCAGAGTCATCAATAAAAGTTATTTCATTGTTTGCTAAAACACTAATCAGCCAAAACGGGAGAATCAGTTTGGGAAGTATTACGGGAAGCGTACTTACAGTTGTGCAGTCTTCACTTGAATGGATTTGGAATCGATTCGGGAAATTTGATTGTTATCGAGATCTCTAGACACAGACACATAGAGATGTCTCATATTAAATTCAATTACAATAACAAAATTGTTATTCGCGCTTACATCATTTGCAGTATATTATAGGGCGGTAAATCTCCCAGATCTGGCACAGTTTTTAATCCACTATTTATGATCCGTCTACAAAGAAAGTTGAATTTGTATTTGTTTCTATTTGTATATACAGAATGGGAAAAAGCCTTCAATATGAGTTACGACCGATGTTTATTTGCCTAGATGCACAGACGAAATTCGTAGCCCCGGGTCGCTTTCTGACACACTTCTCTAGCAATCGCAATTCGAATGAATATCGAACTGTTAGGAAATTGCAATTTCAATGACTATCAAAAGTAATTGGCAAATCAACGCTTCGAATACCTAAAATATACCAGCCCAGTGGAAATGAGTCTCTTATGTATTCACAATTTACTGAAATATTCTTAATTGCTTTAGAAACTGTGTTCTAAAACCCCTTTAATTCTCGTTTTGTGATGACATACTAGAAGTCAAAACTACTATCTGGATTTAATGTATGAGTATAAGTGTTATGTAGGATCGTAACCAAAAATACTCAAAGTATTCTATGCATGCCATGAGATATCAGAAGATCAACAATTCATTCTTACACATATTCGCAGCCCGTAATTCTTCGATTTGGATGATGTGGAATGAAAACCCGCTTAATAATATTATTCTCAAAATTCAATTAAAAGTAGTGAGATATACTTTTATCATAGTGCAAATAAGAGTGGCCATTTTTCCAGAACTCTTTGGGAACTCTTTGGTTTTTTGTAAATGTCTTGAAACCGCAGCAATTATAGTGCTAATCAAGAGCTATCAAATTTACTATTTATCAAGAAAGCGAAGAGAAATGGTCTAACATATATTTTGAATTTGAGTTATACTGAAGTAGAGCAGATGGAGCAAGGAAAATGAAAATAGAAAACACTATGGCCTTCCATTATGGGCATAGAAGCGAGAAAAGCATTTTCAAATGGTATACAAAACACTATCTATCTATATTACATATATAATAATAATTCTGCTATTAGTCCATAAAAAGGGCATTTCAATAAGAGAGCACTTCCATGATTCCAAAATTTCCTGTACTGAATATTCTTTTGAGTTCAACAAGTACATAGAGTATATAGGAAGCTCTCCGAATCTAATTGAATAACCTGAATTTGTAAACTTTGCAGTTGAATGAGCTATAAATGAGTTTTTACTCACATGATTTCAATGGTATCGGAAATGCCCTCAAACACATTTTTGGCCAGGTAGCTTAATTTTGGGGCATTCGAAATGTAGCTATAAAAAAAACATATTATGATATATTATTAGCAATGTATCCCACCTATATATATGTGTATGTGTATATACATACATGGCACGCAGAACCGTTAGATTAGAGAACGCTCCGCTCTGGATGGTCTCCAGCTGCAAGCAGTCTATAAAAGCACTGAGGGTTAAACAACATTTGAACTTATATTCATTTATATTTGACATTTCGTATTTGTGGCTGCTACTCACACATCCAATAGAGTTGGGGCGTACACTTTCAGGCCCATTGACCGCAGGCGCGGCAGTCCGGCGGATGCAATTGTGAGCCTTTGCAGCGGCAGCTTCAAAGTTTGGGGCACGCGCGTCAACGCTTCGCCCTCGCATCGGCACTCGAACTCGTTCTATGCAAACATAAATATTGATTAGAAATTTACATTATCAGATTGTTGTTGTCGTCCGGAATAGCCAGGACTGTATTTAGATCAAAGCTTTGACAGTAATCGATTCGACTTGTTTTGTATGAGTATAGAATAATTGTTACTGGCATTACTGCTCATTTTAATTATTCAAATTTTCAAGCCCTAGAAGCATTTGAATCAGAATAGAATTAATACGGAATACGGTTGATGTATTTACGATTGGCTACGCTTCCAGCAAGCAAAGAGAAAAAACTATATTATTATTATATTAAAATTTGAGCTGGGACCCAATATCTAAAAGATTTATTCTCTTATCGAGAATGTCACCAGTAAACTAATTAGGGAAACTTTAGCTCACTTCATTATTGACAAACACAAAAGCCCGCATGCTACAAACTCAATTGTCATCAGCCGCCTATAAGGACTCCGACCCCTAGACCACTGCACCTTAGTCTACTTTTAGTCAATACATACAATGTAAAGCTAATATAATTTGCTGATGGCCTTATATAAAAAAAACTCGCAAAAAAATAATAATAAAAGAACAGGTAATTACTATAGAAGATGAACCTTGACCTACTTATCTGAGTGGTATAATATGTGTAAACTTGTAGAGTAATTTAATTGAGTGATAACACTTTTAGAGTATGTAGGGCCTATATTCGACCTCCAGAACCGTAAGAGGTATTGAGCAAACACAGACAGATAGAAAGGGCATTTTCGAGACTGATATACCCGCTTGACTGAATGAAACATGAATCTAAAGATACATATCTATATGTCTGATGCAGTCCAGAGTAAACTGCAGATATTCAGTTACCTTTGCAGCCGACGGGCACTTACGTGATTAGTTGCTTCCCAGCAGCAACACTTCCAGACGGAGGCGTCAATCGGCGGATTCGTTGTCATTGGCGGCGCCTGGGCCAATGTGCCAAGCGTATCGATTGCGCTGCCCGGATCACTTGGCAGATTATTAATAATGGCATTAAATCCGTCGTGGTTATCATAACAATTAGTGCTTGCTTGCTGAGAGCAATAGACCAGTGAAAGCAGAACGACGGCCAAGAAATTCAATCTGGCTATAATCAGCGTGAACTTCATGTTGCCTGATGAGCACACGGCACCTCCAATGCTAATCTATTGGGGCTGGAGTTGTGTTTCTATCACACCTGGCGTATAATCAGCTCTAAACACATTCTGCTCTTGGTGTACGTCGTCTTTTGATGCATTTTGTTAGCTCTGATATAGGTTCGGATTAGATGTAGTTTGGATCTGCAAAGAATGTCTTTTCATACATATAAGTTTCACTGCTGTTACCATAAACTACGGATAGTTGGAGCTGTGAAACGATCCGTATTTATTATCCGTATCGAATGCGTTCAATCAGATCATAGTTCAAATATAGTATTTATGATTTATATATATACATGTATGCATATACATATATACATATGCACATGTAGTTGTACCTAAAGAGCGAATACACAAATTTACAAAACAACCTCAAAAATTTTGCACCTATTGATGAAGCTGTGAATTGAAATTTCACGTATCGCTACGAACACATGTTTGATTGACTTTTCAATTTATACAAAGTTATGATTTGATTCCGTGAATGTCGTTTAATGTGCAAACTGAAATTCAAGCCCGAATAAATCGACCAACAAATAATAAAGGCAAACAGAGCTGGGCATGTCTCGTGGGTCCAGCCAATGATATTTTTCACAGACTGTGTCTATAAGCATTTCCAGACTTATTTTTATATTTACTTTTATTGTTCTGTTAATATTTGAACAGAAGAAGAAACAAATATTTATTAATCACACTTACCTGGCGAGAGCAAAAATAAACCAATTAGTTGCACATAAATTATAATTAATAATTTGGCGAGGAGGTCAAAAAAGTCTTTATCAAGTCAAACAAGTAGAAAGCTCTAGACGGCACTGCCCAACTAGCAGATGCCCTTCACTCTTAGTTCATTTTAATTTACAACTTAAAGCAATCAGCCCTATAAATACCTCGTTAAAACCTTCATTCACATTGAACGAGATGTGTATATTAGCAGATATCGACTCAAGAAATAAATGAAAGCGAAGCCGCCGAACGTCTCCGTCGAATTCTACATTCTTAATTAGCAAATATTTGTCTCCTAAATACAAACACATGCACAGTTTGCTCTCTTTTCTATCTGGTTAGAATGATAATACCGTCTGAAAACATACAGATGCAAATTTTACTCGGTATGACTAGAGATTGTA